CTGTTGTTGTTGTTGTTTGTTGCTGTTGTTTGTTGTCTGTTGTTGTTGTTTGTTGTCACTGTTGTTGTTGGTGTTGTTGTTTGTTGTTGTTGTTGTTTGTTGCTGTTGTTTGTTGTCTGTTGTTGTTGTTTGTTGTCACTGTTGTTGTTGGTGTTGTTGTTTGTTGTTGTTTGTTGTTGTTGTTGTTTGTTGCTGTTGTTTGTTGTCTGTTGTATGTGTCACCTCCTGACCATGTGTCCCTCCTGACCACCTGACACCTCCTGACCATGGTCCCTGTGAACACCTGACACCTCCTGACCATGGTCCCTGTGAACACCTGACACCTCCTGACCATGGTCCCTGTGAACACCTGACACCTCCTGACCATGGTCCCTGTGAACACCTGACACCTCCTGACCATGGTCCCTGTGAACACCTGACACCTCCTGACCATGGTCCCTGTGAACACCTGACACCTCCTGACCATGGTCCCTGTGAACACCTGACACCTCCTGACCATGGTCCTGTGAACACCTGACACCTCCTGACCATGGTCCCTGTGAACACCTGACACCTCCTGACCATGGTCCCTGTGAACACCTGACACCTCCTGACCATGGTCCCTGTGAACACCTGACACCTCCTGACCATGGTCCCTGTGAACACCTGACACCTCCTGACCATGGTCCCTGTGAACACCTGACACCTCCTGACCATGGTCCCTGTGAACACCTGACACCTCCTGACCATGGTCCCTGTGAACACCTGACACCTCCTGACCATGGTCCCTGTGAACACCTGACACCTCCTGACCATGGTCCCTGTGAACACCTGACACCTCCTGACCATGGTCCCTGTGAACACCTGACACCTCCTGACCATGGTACCTCCTGGCCATGTGTTACCTCCTGACCATGTGACACCTCCTGACCATGTGTCACCTCCTGACCATGTGTCACCTGACCATGTGTCACCTGACCATGTGTCACCTGGCCATGTGTCACCTCCTGACCATGTGTCACCTGACCATGTGTCACCTGGCCATGTGTCACCTCCTGACCATGTGTCACCTCCTGGCCATGTGTCACCTCCTGACCATGTGTCACCTCCTGACCATGTGTCACCTGACCATGTGTCACCTGACCATGAGTCACCTCCTGACCATGTGTCACCTGACCATGTCACCTCCTGACCATGTCACCTCCTGACCATGTGTCACCTCCTGACCATGTGTCACCTCCTGACCATGTGTCACCTCCTGACCATGTGTCACCTCCTGACCATGTGTCACCTCCTGACCATGTGTCACCTCCTGACCATGTGTCACCTCCTGACCATGTGTCACCTCCTGACCATGTCACCTCTCCCCCCTTAGTGCCTCCTTACCCAACCCTCCCTTAGTGCCTCCTTACCCAACCCTCCCTTAGTGCGTCCTTACCCAACCCCCTTAGTGCGTCATTACCCCCCCCCCTTAGTGCGTCATTACCCTACCCCCTTAGTGCGTCATTACCCTACCCCCTTAGTGCCTCCTTACCCAACCTACCTTAGTGCGTCATTACCCAACCCTCCCTTAGTGCGTCCTTACCCAACCCCATTAGTGCGTCCTTATCCAACCCCCTTAGTGCGTCATTACCCCTCCCTTAGTGCGTCATTACCCTACCCCCTTAGTGCGTCATTACCCCCCCTTAGTGCGTCATTACCCTACCCCCTTAGTGCCTCCTTACCCAACCTACCTTAGTGCGTCATTACCCAACCCCCTTAGTGCCTCCTTACCCAACCTCCCTTAGTGCGTCATTACCCAACCTCCCTTAGTGCGTCATTACCCAACCCCCTTAGTGCGTCATTACCCAACCTCCTTAGTGCCTCCTTACCCAACCTACCTTAGTGCCTCGTTACCCTAAGGTAAGAGCTTCTTGGGACTCCTTGGATTTATTCTTCTCTTCAAATAGAATTTTAATTAACTCAAAGTAATTTTCCTTGTAGAACTATCCTCGGAAGTAAAGCTTTTGTTTCCAGTGAAAGTATTTAAAGTATTAATTAAATCCCTTCTACTACCCTTCCAGTTCTAATATGATTACTCTTAGAAAATATTTCACACTTCTTAAAAATAATCTTGTGATCCTTTTCCCAACTGTGGTTTGCTACCGCAGTGTTACCAGCCATAATTACCAGCATTATTTACCAACCATAATACTATATATATCTTTTTGTGTGCTTCACTTCTGGTCTAAAGTTTACCCTCTTCATCCCCCACATGCGAGCTCTACAAATAATATATAAATGCCTCCGGATTTCTTTATTCTTTATTCATCCTATACTTTATTCTTGAAAACCCTTTTCTTAATTATATTGCAGTTACTGAAAACCATTGAATCCGTCATATCAATTACATCTTGGGTCAGTTTATTTAACAAACGGTTAAAGGTAATTTCACAAATGTTTTCCAGAGGTCTGATGGTGAGCGACTCTGGTTAACAGTTGAAGGTCCAAGATCTGAGACAGCAACAAACTGGCAACATTTCTTTACCTCATGTCTCTGTTCACCTGTCGGCAAATAAATACCTGGGATTTAGACAGGTGTTGTGGGTTGCATAGTAGGGAAGGTCAGTACTTGACCTATCAGACACTCGCTGTCTGTCTGTCTGTCTGTCTGTCTCTAACACTCACTATCGCCCCGTGATAAAACCCGGTGAGGATTGACTGGGAACCATTCTGTAACTGTTCGCCCCTTTTCATCCAGCAGTAATTGAGAACCTGGTGGTAAACTGATTGGCATATCGTGTTCCAGGGGAAAATTAGTAGGGGGCAAGGCTTCCGGTAGTACAGTCGGGTTCGTTCTTGACTCACAATCGAGAATTCCGAGTTCAAATCCCATGCAGGACGGAAATGGTTGAAATTGAAATTGAAATTGATATAAGTTTATTGAGGTAAAATACACACAAAGGGATGAGGTAGCTCAAGCTATTCTCACCCCATTCAGTACAACGTGTTAATATATACATAGACACACATCACAAACAATAAACATATTACCAAACATTCTGAGAGGTAAACATATACATTTCCTCCTTCACAAGTGGTATGGTATCAGACGTACACACAAATACTTTTATGACCTAGGTATACTGTATAGACAATTTGCAAGACACCTGCAGATAATTCAACAAAATATTACAATCTTGGTGCAAAATTTTTATATCTCTCAAGAATATCATCAACCTTTCCGTTGTGACACATCCAGGCTATTTGTTCAGGAACAGTCCTTATCTCAGTGTTTCTATATACATTAATCAACGGACAATCAAGAACATAATGGGCCAGGGTGTGAGACCTTAACATACCACATAGTTTACACTTCGTGTCATTATCATGAACATCTATCCCATATTCCCAGTAATATTTGTACCCAAGCCTGAGCCGCATGTACACAGAGTCACTCCAAGCATTTCTCCTTTTACCATAAGTGAAATGGGTGTTTTGACTCACATACATGTAGTGTTGCATGGTTTGACTACTCTCATACATTATCTCTCTCCTCTCCACTCCCGCCTGTGCCTGAATATTTCTGATTTTGCTTCTTATTTGTCTCATTGTGAATTCACATTCAATGTCAACTTGTGGTTTTGATGTGGCACGTTTGGCCAAATCATCCGCCACCTCGTTGAGCACTATTCCAACATGAGATGGAATCCACATGAATTTCACACTATAACCTTTCAGCTGTATCTCAGTTATTCTTCTCTTACAGTCCTCAACTATAGACATGAAGACTGGGTTTCGACTATTTAAGGACTCCAGTGCTCCTCGGCTATCGACTCGGCTAACCAGAAATGGTTAGCTGCATTTCCTATCACCTAATGCAGCTGTTCACCTAGCAGTAAAGTAGGTACTGAGGAATTAACTTGTTATGGGGTTGCAGCCTGGGCGGGGTCAGTAATAAGGGGAGACCACGATATAAGCCTAAAGTATATGAATACACTCTGGCTGCCTGTCCTCCGACACAATAAATTATTATTATTTTATGAGCTATAGGAAGGGAGTGCTCTCAGCCTGCTAACAGGAGTCGGAATGCGTCTACTTCTGTACTCACCTGTGTAAAGCAATAACAACCGTTCCTGATAAACCCAGGTTGTGAGTCGAAGACGTGGACTACTTATATACTTTCCTCAGAGTATCGTACCGTAGGTCTCCATCTACATATCTCCAACTACCGCCCATCTTATACCGCCTCTGACTCTCAATGTTATGTAATAATGACAGTATTAAATGACATCTGCCTTGTGCCAGCATTATAAAACTCCATCCACCTACATACTGCCAATTCTTCTTCTTCCTTTTGATAGTAGGTGCAGTTTGCATGAAGGGATTGTCAATTCACTTAGGTCTGTTGTAATCAAAACAACAAATGACATCATCAGTAACACGTTCGATGTTACCACTTTCTTTAGTAATAATTTTGAAATGTATTTCTAAAATTATTAACATCTTTTCTTCATAAATATTTTTCTTATAGTAATGTCCATAAGTTTTAATGATGTTATAAGCTGTAATATTCTTATTACATATATATTTTATGTTATATATAATATAAATATGTCGTGCCTATATAATATACTAATATACCAGGAAAAATAAAATATATCAGGAAAATTCGACTTCTTAGGCAACTTGGTCTATTATGAACAACATATATATATATACAGTATAATTAATTTATTTGCAAAATATATAAAGTGGATATCTGTGTGGGTGTATATGTGTGTGTATGTGTAATTACCTAAGTGTAATTAGGATAAGGTACGTTGTAATTACCTAAGTGTAATTACCTAAGTGTAGTTACAGGATGAGAGCTACGCTCGTGGTGTCCCGTCTTCCCAACACTCTTTATCATATAACGCTTTGAAACTAGTGTGTGCGTGTGTGTGTGTGTTACAGTACACTGTACCTGAGAGCATTACAGTGTGACATAATTCACACTGTGAGAGTGTGAGTACAGTGAGGGGGGGAAGGTAGAGGTTGCGAGAGCCGCTGCTCGGTTGTCTCACACACACACACAAACAACAACAGTGATGGCAGCTCAGGTGGACGAGTTTACGGTGGAGTCTGTGAGGGATTATATGATATCCCGGGGCGGCAGGGTCACCAATCACGAGCTGGTGAAGCACTTTAAGGTCTACTTAACCAATCCTTCGTGTAAAGGTAAGACTAAAGGCAGGTTACCGTCTCAGGGACACAAACAACACCAATGTTTACATCGGAAATTTCACCTGTTGCAATCAGCTGATTTTCGTTTATTTTGTTTTTAACGTTGAAGTATGGGTTAATGTTAACTTGGTGCTAGTGTTTAAGAATTATGTAACATGTTGATAAACTTTAAATGGAGTTTTAGCCCTGGATAATGAGGAGACAAGCGTTAATTAGCTTGTTTAATTTCTCCAAGTCTGATTCAAATGCCGTTGATGATTCACACATCGCATCGTTATCATTTCGTATTTACTGTGTATATATATTATATATATGAGAAATTTATAAACACACATTACGCCTGAAATGTATTTGATTCACGATCTCTGATTCTATAGAAGGAAGGCTGAGTGGAGAGTAATAAGCAGGTGTGTAGCGTCTCTGACCCCAGTGGTTCATGCAGATCTGGGCTGTGTTGTTGGACTGGTCACACACCTCCTGCTTGATCACACACCTCCTGCTTGATCACACACCTCCTGCTTGATCACACACCTCCTGCTTGATCTCACACCACCTGCTTGATCACACACCTGCTTGCTCTCACACCTGCTTGATCTCACACACCTCCTGCTTGCTTACACGCCTGCTTGCTTGCTCACACCAGCACTCGTTTCACTAATGTACCTTATCCTCATAATTATCATAATAAGGTGGTCAGCATATGTAAACTTAATTTACGCTTTGTGTGTGGAGTGCAACACTGAGGCGAAATATGCAGGCAGTGGCTACATTTTTTAAAACATTTGGGAGCATTGACCCAGTTTTAGGGTACAGAGATTGCCTAAATGTGGGACATAAAATTTGCCTGCCATTATTTGGTATTTACACATTAAAAAAAATATTCCCCACCCAATTATTTATCTTACATACTCAAAGTAGCCTTGTAGATACTTTAAATTTAGCATACACACTGGCCATATATCACTAGTCACAATACAGAATAAATAACTTGAATTTGATGTTACTTTTTATTATTTAGCAGTGAGCTTACATTACGTAATGTAACCCTATCTAGCCTAGCTTAACTGTATGTAAATGTTTAATAAATAATATTAATCACTGTACAGTACTTTGGTAATAAATTTGTGTTAAATTTTAAATATTTAAAAATAATTAAAATAAGTCCAAAGTTTGTGCATTTTTGTTTAGCAGCATGTAACTATCATGTAAATACAATAATGACTATATGTCTAACACTGGAAAGAAACAAACTTAATGGCACTGATTTAGTGCTCGAGTTTCCAAAATGAAACTGTACCTACTTAACTCCTGTACCTCCCCATGTACAAATATAAATATATAAATATATAAATATATAAATATATAAATATATATATATATATATATATATATATATCTATATTGAGAATCGGAAGAATCGAGCATTTTTAAAGAATTGCAAGCGAAAGCAATTGATCATGATTTCTGATTCTTAAAATGATTCTTCAACAATTAAAAACTAAATAATTTTATTAGGTGATTAAAATGGTTTATATTATGATCATTAACAATCGGGTATTATACTCTAAAAGTTTCATTTTGCTATTGCATTGTAATTTTATTAAAAAAAAAAAATTATGATTTTTATTGTATTTTAAGTCACAAATAACATACACAGTACACCTGTGATGGCTACTAGTACTTTTCAGTTTCTTAATTACTTGTGTTTTGTAGATTAAGGATTACTTTTGAGAAAATGGAATTATCTATGAATTAACTGAACTAATGTTGCAATATTAACTTTATTTTAAATAAGATTAAAAATGCAGGCGATGAGTCACAATAACGTGGCTAAAGTATGTTGACCAGACCACATACTAGAAGGCGAAGGGACGACGACATTTCGGTCCGTCCTGGACCATTCTCAATTCGATTGTGACTTGAGAATGGTTGTAAATCGACTTGAGAATGGTCCAGGACGGACCGAAACGTCGTCGTCCCTTCACCTTCTAGTGTGTGGTCTGGTCAAGATTAAAAATCTTATTTTATTGTATAACACACACTTAAAGCATATACATATATCCACACGTAAAAGGGAATGTTTTCAGGTTTCTTCAGAAGATTAAGTTCTATTTATCATTGTTTTCTATTCCTAAATCTATTATGTATATTATTGGTACACTTACCATGCTCATAATGTTAATCATTAATTGTTCCAATAGAGAATTAAAAAATTTCAGAAAAATAAGTATCGAACTATATTTTTGAAAAGAATCGAAATTGAAAATCATATCGGAATCGAGACTTCTTTTTATTGGAATCGGTACCGATATTAGAAATGTTTGAAATTATAGTATCGTCCCATCACTAAAATAAACATATATATATTATATATGTATATAATATATATGTATATAATATATATGTATATAATATATATATATATATATATATATATATATATATATATTATATATATATATATATATATATATATATATATATATATATATATATATATATATATATATATATATATATATATATATATATATATATATATATATATATATATATATATATATATATATATATATATATATATATATATATATATATATATATATATATATATATATATATATATATATAATATATATATATATATATATATATATATATATATATATATATATATATATATATATATATATATAATATATATATATATAATATATATATATATATATATATATATATATATATATATATATATATATATATATATATATAATATATATATATATATATATATATATATATATATATATATATATATATATATATATATATATATATATATATATATATATATATATATATATATATATATATATATATATATATATATATATATATATATATATATATATATATATATATATATATATATATATATATATATATATATATATATATATATATATATATATATATATATATATATATATATATATATATATATATATATATATATAATATATATATATATATATATATATATATATATATATATATATATATATATATATATATATATATATATATATATATATATATATATATATATATATATATATATATATATATATATATATATATATATATATATATATATATATATATATATATAATATATTTATAGTATATATATAAAATATGCATGCATGCCTAGAAGCCGCAACAGCACCACATGACACTGCCCGACTTAGAGCTGTAGCAGCCCCACATGCAGGTGACTTTCTAACCCCAATCTCAGCAACCAGCATGCGTCTCGCACAGCAGGCCCTTCAAATTGATGTGGCTCTCCGCCTTACTGCCCCAATCCACTCTGAATATAGGTGTATTTGTTGTGAGGCAATGGCCAACAGGTTTGGCCGATATGGCCTGCTCTGCCAAAGCACAGGAGGATGGCATGCAAAACACAGTGAGGTAAATGAAATTATTAAGAGGAGCCTTACCACAGCCAGTTGTCCAGCAGAGAGAGAACCTTGTTACATAATACCCTGCAACTCTGATGGGCTTGTTGGTCGCCCAGATGTGATAAATGAACCCGTGGAAGAATGGTAGACAGTTGGTGTGGGACTACATGTGCGTTTCAACTTTAGCCAACACCTATGTTGACTTCAGTGTTGCACATCCAGGCGGTGCTACCACTCACCAGGTCTCGTAAATACAGAGATCTTGATCACCACTAGAATTTTGTCCCTATTTCCTCAGAGGCGCTTGATATTTTGGGTAAAAGAGCTGCTAGTTTTTTAGGGAGCTGGGTTCTAAGTTAATTGAAACAACTAAGAGACCCTAGAGCTGCCAGTTTCCTCTTTCAGCACCTTAGTGTGGCTATACAGTGACGAAACTCGTACTGAATCCATGATTCTTGCCTGCCATCTGAGAAGCTGGAAGAACTCTACAGCCTGTGACAGCTAGCCTTTTACCTTGCATGTAACCAATGTTGTAACCCTTTTTGTGTAATGAAGTTTTAATTAAAATAAAATGACAAAGGTAGGAGAAGATAGTATGTGAGTGCACGCGGGTGCCTCACAAAGCTCCCCCAGATGCAACATATCGTCTTATTCGAGGTTGAGGATTTCTCACACACCCCTGAGGTGGTACCCACTAATATATATAATATATATATATATATATATATATATATATATATATATATATATATATATATATATATATATATATATATAATATATATATATATAATATATATATAGTGACACCTCGGGTTGCGAATGCCCCTATTTACGAACTTTTTGGGTTATGAGCACAATTTCTTTGTAAAATCCAAATCGGGTTATAAGCTTTGCCTCGGGAAACGAAGTTTGCTGATACGCGTATGACTGACTTAACGCATGGTGGCATGGCTCTCGCACCTCATTTACCAGTACCTCCCGCCTTGTGACAATCGGGCCTGAATTCTTTGTAAAGAATTAGTTTTTTTAGATTTTTCGGAATTTGAACATAAAGTTATTATATATCTCACCACGGATCCCAAGAAAGCCAGTGGTAAGGTTCAAGCCAAGAAAACACATGTGAGAATGACCACAAAGGAAAAACAAGAGATCATTCGTAAACATGAAAATGGTATGAGGGTTGTTGATGTGTAGTAGAGGATGTCCCTTCCTCATTTATCAAGAAAATGTGTTCAGTATGGGAAGAATTGCAAAGTTTTGCTGAAAAGTGTCTCCCAAATCAAGCTGTAGCAGACCATTGTGTTAACCTTTTTAATGACAATGTGATGTCTCACTTCAGACAAGTGTTACAATGTAAGGAAAAACAAGTGTCGCTAGACAAGTTCCTAGTGAGCAAAACAAGCAGTGAGCCACAAGCAGGTCCTAGTGGTATGCAGGCAAAACATACCAGAGAGTGTACCTCGGAGAACTCCTCGATAAAAGGATTTCAATAAAGTCCTTATTGGGGAGGAGGACCTTAATAAAAGCCAA